CATTATATTAAGTTATAAATTTGTTGGTTCTGATTTCGAGACAATGAAACCGATGTAAAAGTAATATAATAAATTTTTTTATAGTCATATTTGAGACAGATTTAGAAGATAGTTGTTGTTTTCCTATTTAGTTTTCCTTTTCTGTAATGTATCATAGTTTCTAATATAACATCTCATTATCGGGGAGAAAGGGATTGTTAGTGATGGAGATTGAGAATCCCATTGCTAGCAATATACCCAACCAGGTCGACCTCCTCGCGGTTCCCCCTGGAAACTATCATGGTTAATTCCTGATGAATTCATCATGATGGGCTAACTGGCCTGTTTTCATTCTCATCTATCACCCTTCACTGGTGCTCCGCCAGCGTATCCTGTTAGCGCAGGCGGGGTTACTATACCATTTTCACATATAAAAAAAAAATCTCATTACCTTCCATTTTGGGAATGGCTCTCTCCCAATGTAGGAGAGTTTATTTGTGACACTTTATTGTACTTTTCATTCTTGTTTCTTATACAGTCTTGTGTTTTCTCGAGGATCTTTGAAAGTTTACTACTTAGAGTTACTAATATTTAGAATTTTAACCACATGGTTTATTTCTTAACTTGATTGCACTGAAATATCGTATTGTCTTTCATTATAACCATTTCATTTTGGAAATAAAAACATTTGCTGTTAAATTGTATTTTACATTATACAAATCTAGTTATGTCCCCCTGGTTCGGACGCTACGTTGCAAATTTAAATTCAATTCATATTTAGTAAAATAGATTTGTTACAAGCACTTTTAAATCGTAATTTTTTATAAATTTATTGCAGAGTTCGGAAAGTTGTTATCTGTCGAGAAGAGCTCACAAGAAACTCAACAGTTACTCTTTTAAATCTCTGTTAACATTATGTTTATTTATTTATTTGAATCTACTATGTTTAAAATTACATGATCATTAAAAAACCCGTGCATGATTTACTAACACCATGCATATTTGTATTTCAAATTATCATGGCGTTTTTCAATAAGTGTTTTTAATAATTTTGTTTCTGCCTACCTTAATGGGAGACAAGCGTGACAGATATATGTATGTATGTATGTTTTAAATTTATTAATAGGTGGATCCAAATTATCCTTCGGTATCTTAGTATAACATTTAATGCACATTACGCTACAATTAACTTTTTCTAAACTATACATTTGAATAGGAAGTTTGGATATGGTACACATAATGTGAAGATAGATAGATAGATAAATAATTTATTTGCATTACTTACAGCACACAAACAGTACAAGACACAAATGCAAAGTGAAAAAAGAAAAAAAAATACATGTACAAAAAAACAAAAAAAAAAAAAAAAATCAAAAACAAAATGCATAAATTTAGTAACATTTTTTTCCCCTTCATGCGTATGCCACAGTAACACAAAATGGCCACAACTCCGCTTATTGCTTTGCCCTAAAAAGAGCAAAGCACTGATATTCTGTTGTGGCCAAAAGTGAGGCGCGAAATACCACAGAAAAAAAAATTATAAAAAAAAGAAAGAAACATAGATAAAATACATTTTGTATGTTCGTTATATTCGATTATTGAGATCGCTGTTAGAAACAGCCACGCCGCCACGTGGGTGTACTAAAACAGTCGTAACTTCTTTTTAATAAACATGAGATAACTTTATCATCCGGGCCAACAATAATGAAAGTGTAAATTATTGGGTGTCCGATACATTTAGGTATTCGTGTAGTAAAACGAGATTCGTTTAAAAGCTAGAAAGCGTATTTCGGCTGTGAAATTAACATATTATTAAGCATTTGGATGTACCCTGTGGAATCGATTACAATTTCATTAGCATTCTTCACGCGCTAGTCGATTTTCCTCGGACCTTGCTGATATCCTTATTAATTTAAGTAATGAATTTAGTTACATAGGAAATACATACCGAGTAGTGTTTCTCACTCAATTGTTTTAAAATATCTTTATTCTTTATTGTACACAAAATATAATGTTAACCACAATTCATTTGAAACGTAATGTACAAAGGCGTGCTTGTCTCTAATAAGAGATTTCTTCCAACAAACCTTTTCATGTAAATTGGATGTATTTTCTATTAAATAATTTGTTTGGAAGAAATCGTAAGGTGTATTCTGCTATCATCATCATCGTCATCTAAATCAGTGTTTCCCAAACTTTTTTGTGCCATGCCCCACTTAAACATTTGTAACATTTTTATGCCCCCATACATAATTGTTCCCGACAAAGTTTACTTGACGACTCTAATCGCCCAGTTGATATTTTGGTAACATCAAACGAAATTATACCTAAGAAATATTTACAGCATTTTTTTAATTTACTATTTTTTTTGTTAATTTTGGCACCGATATCTACTCGTAGCATTGCGTTTAAATGGCTCGGAGCAAGAGGGTTAAAATCACTTTGAATCCATTTTTTAATTTTAATTTAATTAAAAAATGAACTCAAAGCCAAATTGCCGCACTGTGAGGCGTGGGTCCCACGTTGGTTAACACCGATCTAGATACTTGAAATTATCATTTCATCTTGGCTTTGCAGTAGTTTTTCTTATGCGTGAAAATGGAATGGTAACCCCGCCTGCGCTATCGGTATACACTGACGGGGCACCAGTGAGGGATGATAGGTGACAATGAAAAGACAGGTCAGTTAGCCCATCGTGACGAATTCGACGATAAATTAGTCACGATAGTTTCCAGGGGGAACCGCGTGGAAGTCGACCTGATAGGGTATGTTGCTAGCAGAGGGGCTGTCAAACTCCATTGCTAACAATCCATTTTTCTACATACATCGTACTAGGGCGGATAAAAAGTTAATTATTAATCCTATTGATGTTAGAATCGTAACCGGTCGAACTGTTTTTAGACACTTCCATCGAGGAAGTTAATTTAGTATGACTCGTGTTGAGTATTGCATATTATTACATTTCGTAAACACCGACGGCTAGAATAATAACTGGTTTTTTTTATAAACAAATTACAGTATCTAATTATATACATAATAACAATATGCATTGAAGTTTTCATACAGGTGGCTATGTTTAACAAAAGCCCATTGTCTGCATATTGTAAATCATTATCAATGTGTAGTAATGACAATATTAAGCGAGGAAACGCATATAATATTGTGAACATCGAATAAATGTGCCTTTTAAATATAAACCAATACCCGAACGAACTAAAAACATGAAACTAAAAACTTTCCTTAGCAGCCGTGTCGGAATCGAAATAGTTTTTGAAATTTTTTATACGAACGGTGCGTTCGCAGGATTATTTTTGTACATTTCTTTTGTCTCTTGCCGGAGCAAGTGGTTTACTTTTATGCGATAAAAATAGTAGTAATTTATTTATGACTAGTGATGAGCCCGGGCTTCGCACGGGTAGATAGATAGAAAGATAAATTAGTATTTTATTATATATATATATATATATAGTATTGCTACTATTATATATATACAAATTTTCGATTATATTATTGTAAATTTAAAGTATAGTATTGTAAGGGTACACAGAAATAACACCTGAGTCCTCAGGAAAGCAACGCACGGACCATGGGCGAAACAATATACTCTGTCATGTCCATAGTACTCATATATGTATGCTCATGTCTATAGGCGACGGTTACCATTTTCCATCAGGTGGGCCGTCAGCTTTTATGTATGTTTGTCGTTCTAAGTTGTATAAAAAATATGCTTCATAGGGATTTTTAGTTTTGTTTAACAATTGTATAATTTTCTATAGGCGAAAGAATGATTAAAATTGGTTGAGTAATTTTTGAGTTTATGAAACAAAAAGCAAACATAAAAATGGCAAATCTTTCTTTCTTATAAAGAGTTATAATATTAATATTTACTTATACAAGTTGTATGTATATTTACTTGTATTTACTCCTACAAGTTTTACATTTATGCATTTATATATATACAGTTTTTCTTTTCATGTGGCTGCCTGATTTATTGTAAAATTTGTACAGAAAATAAATTCTTACCTTATTTTATCGTGTAATTATCATCCTATAATGTGTCACTGGATTTCGAATAGGCAGAACTCAATTAGTATTCGATATTTTTATTGTAATATATTAAAAAAACATGCAGATAGAGTGTATTAAGAATATTAAGGTCTTCTAATTATCTTGTATTGCTCTGATGCGGTACAACAATATAGACAAATGATGTAATAATTATAAATGCATTATCATTTAAGTTTACTATGCAGAATAGATAGATAGATAGATAGATAGATCGTTTATTTGTTTGTTACTAATCACACACAACATGTACATAAGAATAGATAATACATAAAACAACATAAGATTTATACTCGATTTATAGTCGAAGCATTTATAATTTTTAACATACAATTTTACTTATTTATCCTGTTTTCAAAAAATTTAAATTTAATTTATGTTTCAAATTTAAATGACTTTAAAAATATATCTCTAATATATAAAAATCTCGTGTCACGGTATTTGTTACCAAACTCCTCCGAAACGGCTTTACCGATTTTTATGAAATTTTGTGTGCATATTGGGTAGGTCTGAGAGTCGGCCAACATCTATTTTTCAGACCCCTCAATGATAAGGGTGACCCAAACCAAAAATTTTTTTTGTCAATTTTTTTATTTTTATTTTATTATAATTTAGCATGGAAAAATACACACAACTTCAAATTTTCACCGTTTTACGATCAACCCCTGTTTTTTAATTGCGATTTTTATATTCCGCAATAGAGTTGCAAGTTGGCAATCGAATATAATAATTGTAGTACGAGAAATTTTATAAGTATACAGTTAGTAATATATGTATATTATACTATCAGTCAAATAGTCTTTATGTTTTGAAATTTTATTTTAATTTAATTATATATTTTTCATTTTCAATGGCGTTCATATAAATGTTTAATGCAAATAAAGAATCTGAATCTGAATAATAATTTATAAAATACATGAAATTACATTAATAACATATATTTATGTTTGTTTCAGGTCGTTCGTGTTTGTAACAATACTCGCCATGTTTATGCTAGAATCGCCCATAAGTGCGTTTACAGTGCGTCGCGTGACACACGTAACAGTAAAACCCGAACATGACCTAGTCGAAGAGGAGAGCTCCTTGGTAAATGTGAAAGATGAATCGTCAAAAACAAATATTAAAGTTATCGAACTTCCAAACATTTCGCTGGAGAAAATTATACCAGCGCATACGACAGCTAAAGTGTACGAAATTAAAGGTGATTATCCAGAAAATGAAGACAAAGTCGAATTAACTACAGCTTACATTCTTTTGAAAACTGACGATGGATATTTGAAAATAACAGGCCTACCAGTATACACGAGTGCTGCAAAAGAAGAGATTTCATCCACATTAAATGACGAAGTTACTTACGTGCCAGACGTGAATGAAGAAATTCTAAGGAAACGAAGACAGAAAAATGAAGATAACGTAACTGCTACGGTAACAAGCGACTTTACCACTGCTGATGGCAACAGTGACTTTGTATCAACGCAAACTTCAGGGACAGTGGAAGGTTCTTCAACAGCTAATATAAAAAGCAGATTAACCGACATTCTGTCAAGGGAAATCACAACTATTGAATTACCTTCAGAAATTGCTACGACTGATACGGACTATACAAGCGGTACACCTATCATTGAATCAAGGTCTATCAATCAATTTGATTCTAGTACTACAATGCAGTCTGTATGGACGGATTCGCTTACTGAAAATGTCAAAACTAATTCAAATGTAAATAAATTAATAAGTACACCTCCTGTTTTGCCTTTTGGGAGAAAATATACAACAATTAACAGAAAACGCGAAGAAACTGTTACAGATAGTACAACAGCCACTAATTTCAAAGAGCTGCCTAGAGAAGAGACACCGCCTCGTTTTACTTTAGAGAAAGTATTGAATGAGACTACAATATCGTCTCTGGAAGCGTTTAAAATAGAGCAGCCGTCAAATTCTAATACATTCACAGGTATTCCAACGGAAATAGATACTGCACCAACTGCTAGTAGTATTTACATAAGTGAAAGTGATACACTAACTTCACCCTTAGAAACGAAGACAACCTTTCCGAGAATACGGCAGTCGTCGTCTAAAAGAGCTGGTTTCTTAGATTATTCAGCAAAACCAATTGCAGGGACAGACTTTCAAGAAGTGACAACAATAGTAGAAAACTTTGATCCCACCAGCATAAGCAGCAGTGATGAGAATTTCAGAAAATCAATTGAATTAGAAGTACCGAATATTGATAGTGTATTAGACAACAAGACAGAAATAGAAACGCAAACTCAGTTGGTAAGATATCTATTTTTATTGATATTATTTTTAAAGGTTAATAAAATTAAAAGATACCAAGTAATGTAAGTAAAGACTAAAGTATCATTAGACTAAAGAATAGTTAATTATTTTAACAGTAAAGTTTAAATACATACCTCTTTTTATTACCGCGAATTTTCCAAAAGAAAAAAAAATACATAATGATACTTTTTGATGTGAACAAATTCTATGTACTTCGTATTTGTAATTATAATTAACAGGTATGTAATATACGATCATGAACTGGAAGAATGATCAATTTTAAAATCTTAACAAAAATCCATACTCACCAAGTCATTTTACTATTCCAGGCGGAGGACGCAATGAAAGAAGATCTTCTAAAGGAAGATATGCTTAGTGATAACGGAAAGTATGCTAAACGCATTGAGGTTAAAAATGCTGGCAAACATGTCATAGATATACCGATATTGCAAAAATCGTCTCAAGAAACGGTGGACGACACATTGAGTGTAAAACCCATAGAATATGAAAAAGGAAAATATCCTGCTAAGTATACAGTAAGTCCAAATTACAAACCATTGAAGAAAATAGAAGTCCAGTCACAAAAGCCTATCGTAAGAGATCCTGATGATAATAGTTGGAGAAATGAAAGTATCAGTAGCTTAGGCATAGTTTTTAAGCCAAAAGCAGCTTCCAAAAACTATACTGAGGTATTGAAAAATAAAACAGAAGCTTTATTAAGCAGTTCCTTGAGTAGAGAAAATAAGAATGATGTTCCTGATTTAAAAGAACGCCTAGAAAAAATCGCTGAAGTACGGAAATCAAAGAAGAAGAAGGTTTTAGATAAATTTGGGGAACCCGTTTACAGCGATTACGAAGACACTCTCTACTCTGTGGAATCATTAGGCACGAATACGCCAACATTGGAAACAACGTTTGCTTCTATGCCTCCAACAAGAAATGTTATAAGAACTTTCCAGAGTAAACCGTTGCATACTACACACGCCAGTGCCTTAGATCAATTATATAATGACAAAGATAAAGAATTGAATACCTTAACCACAGAGAAACCAAAGATATATAATACTATCCAGGAATACTACGATACTACCGATGAATATGATTTTGATTATTTGAATCTTCCTAAAATAGATTTGAAGAAATATACACCTCGTGTATTCAATAAGGAAACCCTAGTTACTACGTTACCGACGGCAGTGTCCACGAAACCGACCACGGGTTATTTACCGGAAAGGAAACCTACCGTCCAGTATTTCCCACCGCGCGTTACGCCGAAAGTTAACAATAACGATTACGACGGAGACTTCCAAAGGAAAGTGAATTTATACACATATAAGGAGCCCCCTAAGACTGCTGCTCCAAACACATTCGCCACGACACCCTCTCCGTCTGTGCAGCACGATAAATATGAACAGTTTAATAAAAAGAACACGATAATACCAACAAATTACAATACGCGTCTACCAAATCCAGCTAATATAGAAAAGAATGTATACTCGGCGAACAGTCAACGTATATCAGAACCACCGATGCAAAACAACGGATACACAGCGGACAATGGGAATTACGACAGAGGCTCCTATGTCATTAGACATTATAAAGACTTTATAGATGAAGCAGTGAGAGATAACGATTACGATAAAAATGCCGAATATGTTCCGTACCCACAAGCTCCTGTCAGAGGCGTGACCGTGAACGACTTGGGCAGATTAAAGCATAGGCCCAACGTGAACGATGAGTTTGATTACGAAACGCAGTTCCGAAAGGATATACTGAGTAGATTTATCGATAATTTCAACCAAAATAACGAGCGGTTCAAGGTCGATTTCCCGATATTGTTTAATAACAGCGTGCTGCACAGGAAGGCGGACGAAAGCGGCAAGGTTCTAGCGACTTCGACCGCGTTCATGAAGAGGCTGTACGGAGAGGGGAGCATGGCTACGAAGCCAAACAATTACATGGTACGGGGGAGGCCTTGCGAGAATTGCGACAATATTACCGTGGAATTGTCGCCGGCGTACGAACTGCATTATTATGTACCCGAGCAGGAAGAAAGGGAAGAGGCGGAACCACAGCCGGTCACTTTGGCATATCGTTATACATTATGAAAGTAATCGTTGTGGAATTAGGAGCAAATGATAGTTGAGTCGACTTTAGGCCGTTAGAAAATGTACCTCAGTTATAAGTATACAAATGCTAAAGTCGAACAACTATGGAATTATATTGTGTGTATGTACGTACATACTTGTACGTTTGGGCGGTTTTTCACTATTAGAAAATGTGCTATCGATTTATAAGTAGATATTAAGTTGTAAATATTTGTAGATAAATGGTAGTTTAATTACTTTTTAGACTGCGTTTTAAGTATGCATTCAAAATGGGTATATTTGTAGTCATGCATGGTAATAGTAAATGATATTCATATAAAAGTATTTATGATTATTATGTATAAGTAACGTAATAAGATATAACTAATTCATTATTTTCTCATTAAGAATTATCACCGCAATATATTGTGGCCCTCTGGATTGATATTACGAAAGAGTGCTTAATGGACCGGCCGTATACGTACCACAGAGAACCGACACCGACTGAGAAAGTGGTATAAAAAAGTTGTTATATTATGCAGATTTATTGTGAAATATACGATTAAAGAAAAATATAAATAACGTGCAGTGGTCTAAATAAAACAAGGGCCACAAAATGACGAAAGAAAGAGATACATTTCTGTGTCTATTGTCATTTGCTCCTTATTCATAGAAACGTCAAACTTTTCACAAACACGTTTTAGATTTCATACTGTTTTCGTCTTTTCCTTTTACACTAAATTCTCAATTTGAAAGTAACAAAACAGTGTAACAGTTAAAATAGGTATATTTTAGTTTTAACGAATAAGATGGTTGTTGGGCTGAGATTTGTCGCTGGTTAGATAGGTAAGTTACGACCAAAATTAATAGAAATAAGTCCATTTGCCAAAGATATGGTCGTTAACACCGTGACCGTCCATGTTACCAATGTGTGTTTGAAATATGTAATTGAATTTAATATAGTTTTGTATTTTGGGAATTCTGATTTACTCTTTTTTATATTGTATATAGGTATTTAGTATAGTTTACTTAGTATAGTTCGATATACAATTACTTGTGATCGTGTGGCATAACAAACAATAAAGTGTTTTTAAAACTGGACTCATATTATTTTGGGATCTTTTCCAATTCCTGCGACGAGTGTGGAACTCGCCTTCTCCTGACCTCTAGTATTTTCAATCGACTTCCAAAATGCAGTTTTCAATTCGATTGTATTTGTTTTATGTTTGTTACCTCATAACTTCGTCAGTTGTAAACCGATTTGGAAAATTCTTTTTTTATCTGAAAAGGTACATTTACAGATTGGTCCCACAGAAATTTTATCAAAATCAGTTTTTTTTATACAACTTAGAATGGCAAACAAGCTGACGGCTCACCTGGACATAACAGAGTATACTGATGGAAAGTGGTAACCGTCGCTTATAGACACGAGCAGTACCATGGACATAACAGAGTATACTGTTTCGCCCATGATACCATTCGCGTTGTCATTCGTGAGGATTAATTGAAGACGTTTTTTTTGTGGAACTCAATCTTGATCATTAATATTTGTATCAAAGCGGACAAGATATGGAGAGGTTTGTTTAAATCGAAGCATTTGGCGTTCCATTGTTTCTGCGAGATATATATATATATATATATATATATATATATATATATATATATATATATATATATATATATATTTGTTTTTAGAGATGTTTTATATCACAAATGTGCCAAACATTCGGACCGTCTGATGGTAAACGGTCACTGTTGGGGGAAAAGGGATTGTTAGTAATGGAAACTGAGAATCCTATTGCTAGCATTATACTCAACCAGGTCGACCTCCTCGCTTGATGATTTTGTCTTGAATATTTCGGTTTGAAGGGTGGGATATGGCAGTGAATTTACAGATAACACTGTTACATCCATGGTACAGCTCATGTTTTACCACGATTACCACTTACCATCAGGTATATATATATATAAGAGACATCAATATTTCTTGTTTACCAATACAAGTTGCATAAATATATATATATATATATATATATATATATATATATATATATATATATATATATATATATATATATATATATATATATATATATATATATATATATATATATATATATATATATATATAATGAAAAGCCAGCTTTCCTTTTAAAATACAATTTTATTGACATTTTTATTTAAGAATAGGTACGCAAACATATTTCAATCGTTCGATCATTTGCAATGGGTTATACATTTTGAGCATAATTAGGTATATTACATTATGTAGGTATAGTAATACAGTTAACGTTACATCTAAATCATACTGCACTGACTCAGCGTACTAGGAGACACGAATAAATAGCGCGAGCAAATGCAACTCTGGATCAAATAAATAAGGTCACAATCTCGATGCGTTGGAAACACACAAAATAAAAATGACAATATTCAAAACGAACACACTACTCTTTGGAAATGACGTCACAGGAATACGGGGGTTACAAATAAATTATATACACGTCGCGTGACAATATTCGAAATTAGAATTCATCTGTTAATGTGTCCATTTTTATTATATAAACAAAAAAAAAAATTAGAAATTAAAATAAAAAATAAATAAATAAAAAACGAGACACGAACCAATATATTAAGTGGTAAGCGAATGGGTAACATTTTTGTGCGGAGTATAAAACAAATATAAATATATATATATATATATATATATATATATATATATATATATATATATATATATATATATATATATATATATATATATAAACGACGTAAATACCACTAAAATAAAAGCTTCGCATCGGCGTAAACATAACAGACCCTGTGCCTTAGCAATGTTTCATTATCATACACATAAATAACTCACATTTTCTTACAATAATAAATTTAACAATACGTAATTATTTTAAAGGATAGAAAAGAAAAATACTGCCGGATAAGTATAAAAAAAATATAAAGATTTAGAGGTTCAAGTGCTTGGGGAGTGTGATGACGGATGCAAGACAGATTAGTATACCATTTGTTATTATATTCTAGCTTGAGAACTGTAGATTCAAATCGTCATAGTCGTAGAATACCGACGGATCTGACAAAGATTACATATAAAGATTCGTCAGTATTCTACGACTGTGACGAAATGGCCATTGTTGCATATGTAAACACTATAGTACTGTAAATTAAACTCATGAAATGTACACCATTTGGTTAAAAATTAAATGTGCAGTGAAGTACAGATACTATAGTGTTTATACATTTTAAGAGGTCCTTACATGGGCAATTTTCGAGTACAATTGATTGGAAATTTAGTTGTTTTATAGATATAGTATTAATATTGCTTTCTCTATCTCTAGTAAAAACTGCTGCATGTTAGCATCCCAATATATTTTTTGATTTCATAAATAAAGATATAGCCATAATATTGTATAAATTGCCCATGTAAACGCACCTTTAATGGCTGAAGTAGATAAGGGAATTAGTTCTGGAAATGTGGGGACTTCTTGATCTAAGTGTTATATTTTAAATTAATATCGAATTGCCTATTTGTTGTCAATGCTCAGCCAGGGTACTTATAAACAAGCAGGGCCGTAGCTAGATCCACGTTTAAGGTAGGGCAAAAGAACTTTTTGGTAGGGCAGAAGTCATAACAAACTTTGAAAAAGCGAATCTGTATACTTTCTTAAGGCCAGTTAAGGTAGGGCATTGGGCCTTTTAAGGTAGGGCACTACCTTCCTAGCTACGACCATGTGAATAAGGGTCCCGGAAGGTGCTTAAAATAGTCGACAATTCTTAAAAAAAAAAAAAAAAGTATAAGCAATCCGATATACATTTTAAATATACACTGACGAAACTTTTAAGAGATATCTAATAAAAAGATCTTGGCAGTATTATCCAATAATTGACCAAATCAGAAGAGTTTTGGCATGACACGATGAACATAACTGAAAATCATTTACACACATACGTAAAATTATAATTTTTAGACTATAGATTAGTTAAAAAAATAACTTTTACTTTTTTTAACTTACATAAACTTGATCGTTTATGCTGTCCCTAAATTCTCCTGTATAAATAAATTAACAAGTTTCTAATAGAAACAAAACTAGTATGCGAATAATTGTCAAGGTACGCCCATCGTATTCTTTACTGAAATAGTACTCTCAGACAAGGGTAGAGACTATGTCTTCTGCAGGGTTGCCGTTAACTAAAATTATTGTTTTAAAATATTAAATTTAATATGCATTGCTAGTAAATACTTGAAATAAAAAAAAAAAAACAGATCAGGAAAATAAAAAAAAACCCGCTATTAAACGAAAAGAGATGATTTTTATATCGACTATATTGTTTGCCATATAAAATAATTGAGCCAGTTTTTATTGCTTTGTATTTAAACGAGTGAATCCAAATACTATTTTAGGCGACGGAAAACTTTTTTTTTAAATTGTTTACAAACAAATACCGAGTTGTAGATTTAATGTTACAGAATTGAGTCATCAAAATTTTATTTTTTAACTAGCGGCCCATCCCGGCTTCGCACGGGTGAACATTTTTAACATTCCCCTTCACTGCTCTGCTCCTATTGATCGTAACATGATGAAAAGTATACTATAACCTGCCCAGGAGTATGAAGAATAATTGTACCAAGTTTCGTTAAAATCCGTCGAGTAGTTTTTGTTTCTATAACGAACATACAGACAGACAGACAGACAAAAATTTTCCAATGATTGCATTTGTGGCATCAGTATCGATCTCTAATCATCCGCTGATAGTTATTTTGGAAATATATTTCATGTACAGAATTGACCTCTCTACAGATTTATTATAATTATACATGATTTTCTCTTGAACATTATAATGTAACCCAATTGAAATTAGTATTCTAGTATTTAATTCGCCCGTTTTCCTTTTTTTAGGCTCTCAACTAGTTTTTTTTTTTTATTTCCCTGATCACGATTTTAACACGGTACAAGCTACATATTGTGATATTGCCTTGCTGAACACCGATATATGTTGCCATTCAATTTAGCACGAGACAAAATCATAGCTGTATATCGAGTAACGAAGTGTGAATACAATTGTATTATATTAAAATACACAGTAGGTACATTGATTCAGTTATTAATCGTAATAATAATTTATACGTACTATCTATACTAGAAGCGATTATTTACAGAGACACGCCACTTTACAAGCTAGACACCTGCCTCCCGACTCCGCCCGCCTGGCCCTCCACACCCGCCGGTAAACTGAACACCAATATGAATATTTACAAGCTATTTGTACAAAATAATTAGGAACACAGAGACGAGCGTATATACAAATAGTGACCGACATTATACTATTTTCGATCTAATTCCAAAACTGCTTTTGTTTTTAACTTGTCTTTATATGTATGTGTGTGTGTGTGTGAGACTACAATACAAATGTACGAAACTGGCACACTATCACACAGACAGGACAACTATATCCGTCACTTTCCAACCAATGAGGAGGAAAAGAGACGGAATGACGGGTAGACTGTCTCGTTATAAGTGCACAGAAACATAAGTCGATACATTTAACACCTAGGGTTGTCAACACGTAATTTTTCCACACTTTTTCTTATTAACTAATTTTTTTTTTATTGAAACAAGTAAATAAATAACGCAATATAAAAATAATAGGCTTTTTAACATTACAAAATAAGGTTTCGTAACCGCTAATTGGTTACTTTTGTTGTAACAATTTATCTAAGTACCTAATAGATTAGTTTACCGGCGCGAGGGGCTCAGGGAGTCTACCCTTGACATTACATTTACCTAATTCCAGTCTTTCGTTTACACTACACTAACTATAATCACACTAGGTGGTATCCCCACAGAAATCAAACTACATACAAGTGGCTCGCTGTAGGTACACTCACACATAGCTACGTATCTCTCCCGATTATACTACCACTTATATCAAAAGGTGCTACAATTACATACTCAAAAAGATAAGTTACAAATTAAACCACTTACAGATATGTTTACTACGAATGAGAGAGCAATATACGGCGTATTCTCTCACGTACTCACGTGCATGTTGCAACATAAATGTATACATAAATTCATTTGTCACTTAAAACTACTAAGGGGGAAGGAATTGCTACCATTCCCATTGCTAGCAATATACCCTGTCAGTTCGACCTCTACGTGGTCACCTCTGGAAACCATCGTGCTGAATGTTTGGTGTATTCATCACTATGGGCTGACTGACTTGCTTTTTTATGTCATATCATTATTCACTGGTGCCCCACCGACGTATAACGCTAGCGCAAGCGGGGTTACTAAAAAAAAAAAAAAAACTTAAAACTACAAATTTTTACTATCACGGAGTGTACGCGAATCTATTGTTGAGATATTACCACACATGGCCACGCTATGCGCTAGTGCACTTTCCTGCCTACACGTGTACGAAGCTTGGTCTCTGTAGGGATACTTATTTGTGTGCTATGGCCCTACGATGCCCTAGTCCGGTCGTTTACACTACAACCTCATACTTCACGCTTGCGTTCTCAATGCTGATTCATACTGTGCTCATATTCATCGTGATATTCAGACAATTAATACGAAATTTAATACTAATATTAGTGATATGATACGGGGGTAGATTTTAAAAGGTAAAAAAAAAATTGAATTTATCGACATCATGTAAAAATAGTTGGGATATGCCGTGAATTTATAGGGCACAGAGGAATAACACCTGAGTCTACAGGAATGGCAACGCATGGGGGGTATCATGGGCGAAATAGTATACTCTGTTATGTCCATGGTACTGCTCATGTCTATAGGCGACGGTTACCACTTTCCATCAGGTGGACCGTCAGCTTGTTTGCCATTCTAAGTTGTATAAAAAAAACAAGGTTTTAGCCGTCAAAATGAGTCATTATAAAAATTTGATATCGTACCCTTTGTCAGAATATCACAGATTCGCGTCACCATACTGCGTTATTTGAGTATAGTAAAAAGAAAAAATAAATAAATAAGATTTACAGACATTATAATGCTTTGTAAAGTGCTTACATTAAAGTTTTACTAGTTGGGCGTTTAATGAGATTACAGTACGATCAAATGTTTATATATGGACACACCTTAAGACAAAAGTAAGGGTTCGTTCACAGCACGGTGACGCGACGACGAATACGCTTGTGGTGGCAAACTGGTGCTAAACTAAACTCATTTGACAAAACTATATTCGTCTCTTTTCCACATATGTGTTTAGAAAGAGATTGGACGTCGGTTGCGTAGCGTCAATTGAGTTTAGTCATACACCAGAATTATGTTAATAGCTTTTGTTATTTTGTATTTGAAAAGGCGTATTAAATGGACATCATGTAATCAACATACTGCACCTAGCTTCCAAGTGATATTACTTACATTAACACAGGATTAATTTATATTGGTTAAATTATATTTGGGAAGCTTAATAGAAAACAAAGCGGTCGTAGATACTTAATTGAAAATAAAAACGTTAGTTGTTGGCACCTCGTCATTTGGCACCGCTAGCATTAACCGAAATAAATAAATAAACCGGTTTCACGTGAATACGGTATCAGCACCGGACGCCGGAACGAAAATTAGGAACAAGGTGCCTTTTGGAACTTTATTATGTTTGCGAATAAAACTATTTGAAAGAGGTCTATATTTTTGAGTTGGTAATTTTTCTAACACTTTCAATTATTTCACGTCATGGATACTAATTTTAAATAGAAAATTGGTATAATTAAAAAAAAAAAAACGGTTTTTAACGGTTCCGAATTTTGCTTATAATTTTTTTTCATCTAATATTTAACTTAATAATATAAAATACTTAATTTTAAACTTTAAACGGTACTTGACGCGATGGAAAAAGTCTTTGCAGGTAAATAGTACCTACACAGCTGCAAACCTATTCCAATAATGAAGTACTGCGTTCGTGATTCACTGTTCATCCCAAAACGTTGACTGGTAGAGAATGCTACGAGCATTACAGTCCGTCTTTTGTACCATATATTTTTTTTTTGATCAATAAATTATTAAAATAAAAATACCTGCTTCTTTATTGGCGACGTTGCGACGTGGATTGCACCACGTCGTAGTCACGACAGGACGTTTCGACGTGGTGCAATCCACGTCGGAACGTCGCCAATAAAAAAGCAGGTATGTACCTACTATATACTTTCAAAGATTTATTCATCGCATCAAGTCCCGATTGTGTATTTGAAATAACATAAAAATATAAATACAAAAAAAATTAACAAACACCGTTTCAAATAGTTTTATTTGGTGATTCGAGCCGCGAGAACCTAACAGTTATCACGTAATCCTATATACCACAGTACAATGGTGACATACATACACACCACTGCGCATTGCTAGCACCACTATAATATTACGTATTGAAAAACAAACGAGCTGTGTATAAATGCTGAACTATTCCACTATTATGTTAAAATCACATCGATCAACAATTGACGTTTCATCAAGAGGCACATTTCATACCAAATTAAGCGAGCGATTTTAATTTGTTTTATTCAAATATGTCAACGTTGTCGCAGATTGTCACTTCATTGTTACATGGATAATTATCAGACAATTAGTACCGGCATAGAGTAGGCCACCCCTTCCTGTCCCGTGGGTGTCGTAAGAGGTGACTAAGAGAGGGCGAGGGATGGGCAGTAGGGCCCCTTTTAAAACATCTCCAAAGCCTAACTGTGGTTGCCAATCAGCCTGCCAAGCATGGCTACTACTGGCAACCCCCCCCCCCCCCCCCAGAAGAGGAGGCTTATGTGCAGCAGTGGACAATTAAAGGCTGATATGATGATGGTGATGAAGACAAATCCCAACCTCAAACACACAAAAGTGGACGACGTCGTGGGAATAAAGTTTTTTTTTTTTGTTCCACTGAGATATTAATAGAATAAAATAGAATTTTATTGCTAACTGTGTACATACATATAGCAGTAACCATTGCTTTGGATTTGACATCGGTATTAACAGTTATACCCTATCGGGCATGCAACAATTTAAGAACAGCAATTATATTAATAAAATAAGTTTGGGAACCCCTGCCTTAGGTAGTAAACGTTTTTATAATTCAAAATCTATGCATACAGACATAAATGATTACGGTTTGTAAGGGATCGGCTTATTTTACAAAACAATCTGCGACACGTTGGACTTAGAACAATATAACATATTGGGCCGCCGCTGGATGAAGGCTGCCTCTTATACTGGCGTGGACATGTACCATTACGAATTTAAATTGTCTCTTGAAACGCAGAAATACACGATCCATCTATATTTATTTATTTCTAGTGTGAAAATTATAAAATAATACTGATCAAGGTATTCTTCCGTACAGAATACAATATTGAAATCATAGTGAGTATAAAAAAAAAAAAAAATAAAAAAAAAGTGTACGCTTGTAATAATAAAATGAAAAAGTATATTATTACATTATGTAAATGTAAGAAATAATGATACTGACATTTCGTCACAGTCGTAGAATACTGACGGATCCATATATGTAATTTTTGTCAGATCCGTCAGTATTCTACCACTATGACGATTTGTTAATGCAAATAAATCTTATAAAATACATATTTAATTAACGAGATAAATTAATTCCATAGATAGTGTACTTCCGTCTTATATATTTCAAAAAAAAAAGAACACCTGTTTTTTTTTTTATAATCGCAATTAAAATAACAACGAACGCGTTTACAGTACAAATTTCAACCTTATTCCCGTAGTGAGTATGTTTAATTTTCCGTATACTTATAACCACATCCATAAAGCTCTAAAAGGAAGCCTCACTATACATATATTAATGGTTCAATTATAATATTTTAAATATCATTTGTAACATATACACAGTCATACATAGCCTACACTACACTATTAGAACAATCTCGATGTCCATACGGCGACTTCCCGAGTCGTAACTTTACAATTTACAATTACACACCCCTAACGTGGCGATTAATTTACAATTTCCTTTTATGAAAGCGTATCAACTTTTATTACAATATATATATATATATATATATATATATATATATATATATATATATATATATATATATATATATATATATATAACAACGAATTTAACTCGGCTTAAGATTCACTCGACTAGTATATTTATTTATTTTTTTAGGCGAAATGCAAAACTTTTATGTCAATTCTAACTCCTCGTGGGCGATTCAACTACAGTGCATTAGTTTGATAATCGGACGACAACGAAACGTGCCCGGAGGAAGCGTCGCCAAGCGGTTGTCGAATCAACATTGAATTAAATAAGATTTATTTTGTAAAAACATAACTGTAGTTTCTCAAGTTCTCTTTTCATTTAACAGTTTCCTCTTGTCGGTGCAACTAATTCATGCACCTTCTTCCAGCCAGCTCTATCCCAGGCCATATCCTTGACCTCCCTATACGACATGACGCCTAGTGTTTCTTTTATCTGTCCCATGTAGTTATTTCTCAAGTTACTGTACTAATATTGTTGTTATAATTTTAAACGGTTACAGTAATTGTGGTTTTAGAACTGGACCCCTAAATAGGTTAATCGCCTGTGTTAAGGGGTCATAGTCCGAACTCCCTTTAGTATTATGGGGGAATTAATATTTATAGAAAGTAACTAAAATAAGGTTGTACAAATCATTTAATATTGGAACTTTGGAGCGATGATCATTTCTGAATCGTCTTTCTGTAACTCGTTTACTAGATTTTTTAATTTTAATGATGAAATTAGACAGATATTTGAGTCTACGTTACCTTTTAAAATTAATTTGAAAAATTTCATGATTCAAAAGTTAAATATTCCATCAAGTTACCTTTCTATTCTATTTAACTGCTAAATTAACAGTTGTATTATTGTTAACTGTATAGGTAACTGATGATATTATTTCACTGTTACCTTATTCACTTTTAGCCACAATAGAATATCAGTGTTTTGCTCTTTTGAGGGCAAAGCAATAAACTGAGTTGTGACCATTTTGTGTCGTTATGGAAAACGATTGAAAGGGGAAAAAAAATATGTTTTTATTTTATGTATTTCTTTGTATATGTATTTCTAGTGATGCAAATAAACTATATATCTATCTATCTATCTAAGACTTGAAAATATCGATTGTAGATTTTTACTCTCAAAAAATTATGTCTAAATTTTAGCTTCAGATATAAAGAATGAGATTTCGTAATAGGAACTTGTCGGTGTGAGGTTAATTATACACTTCAGGGGTTTATTTTCCATTTAAAAGAGACAGAAATATTTAGAGAGCAAGATAGATATAGTAAATGTCTCTTCATAGTTTTTTTTTTTTTTCAAATAAAGTAAATAGTTTTTACTAATGCTTTTCAAAGTAAAGAGGTATAACACCTAAGTCCTCAGGAATGGCAACGCATGGGCGGTATCATGGGTGAAACAGTATACTCTGTTATGTCCATGGTACTGCTCATGTTTATAGGCGACGGTTACCACTGTCCATCAGGCGGGCCGTCAGTTTGTTTGCCATTCTAAGTTGTATAAAAAAAAAAAAAAATATTTTACTACAATCCGTACTATAAGTTTGGTCAATAGAAGCGTCCGTTGAATTGTAAACAATGTTGCATTCGACAATCGGCTTGTACATTACGTGTAGTTTTAATGTGATAGCTCTACATTGAAAACTAGCATTTGAATTTTGTTTTTCAAATTGTAAATGTGATTCTAAAAGTGTGTAAACAAAATTGAAGCCTACAAATCTGAATTTATGAATCATTATTCCATTTCTCTTACTGTTGGTTAATCGTAGAGTATATTTTGCACATCATGGTTTAGAAAGAGAGAAATGCATAGTTAAATGAAGGAGAGGGACATATGCCATACAATAGCAAGTTACTATGCATTCTGTGATATCGTAACAGAAAATTTGATAAGGTCAACGTACTGTCATCAATATCCAATTTACAATTGTCGTTCGGTTTTAAGCTTCTTTCTTAGATTATATAGACAGAGTATCTCCATACAAATGCTTCGAGTTAAACGGCTCAACTTTTTCATACAATTTTGCTTGATAAATACTTATGAGTGATTCCTTTATAACTTCTATATTTATTTCGTCTTATAATTTCTGCATCTTTTTAATGTGTAAACACTAATTTTATTTATTAAATAATACGTCAAGATACATTGTATGCGTAAGTATATAGAACACTGATAAAAAAAAACGATTGCTTAGGTACCTCTGTCTCATTTGTGTTTCTACCGTGAAGCAGTTGTGTTTGCATGGCTGTGTTTCGGTTTTAAGGGTGGGATATGGCAGTGAATTTACAGGATACAGAGGAATAACACCTGAGTCCTCAGGAATGGCAACGCATGGGAGGTATCATGGGCGAAACAGTATACTCTGTTATGTCCATGGTACTGCTCATGTCTATTGGCGACGGTTACCACTTACCATCAGGTGGGCCGTCAGCTTGTTTGCCATTCTAAGTTGTATAAAAAAAATAACTTGACAATTAGCTGACAAAAATGTTGACCCGTTTTTGGGGCTCGATGCTCTATCTATATAGTCTAAGTCCATTTCTTTTGAAATACAATTTGTGGTTTCAGAATCACATGCAATGCAGAACTATCATATTAAATGTTAAAAATTGATAAACTATTAAAAAACACCGTTCAATACACATCGTTCGTCGGACCGTCTTACTCATTCGTATGCAAAAATACACATTATTTGGCGATACAAAATCTCGTCATAAGACCCATTTTTTTTTTCAAGTATATAAATATGCATTAAATCCTATACTAAGAGCTAGAAGCCCGAATTTCATACTGAGCCTGCGTTATAGTTGAAATGCTCACCGTGTTCAGTATTAAATTCGAGTCGATTTCACTACGGCAAACTTCGTAAGTGTAAAGTACATCTATGGGACGATGGTCACCGTGGCCGACCGTGCGGTGTCAGCGAAGCCGCTGGTGATCGAACGGCGCTCCTGCGGCATACACGCGCCATTCGACATTGAAAGATTACTATGATATCTAGTACTAGTAACGAAAGAGATGCAAGACTGTCCGTCTCGCAGTCGACGCGTGCGCTCGAATGTCTAGACGTAGCAGATCTGGTCGACGATTTCATAGGTTTCGAACTAATTTCGAGTACGAGAGTAAATAAGGATTGTCAAGTTGGGTTTAAGGTGAAACATTGAAAACTCGCCTGCGTTAGTCGATTCTGACACATGTCAATCAATGACGTTTATGATTCATACTTGTCAATGTCATTATTGACGTGATCTGTGACTTTAGTAGACGTAATAGTAATCTGTAGAGAATTTTTCGGTTATATAAATTTCCACATGGACTCCCGCGATATAGTTTCGCATAGTGCGGGGTCCAATGCGCTAGTGTTGTATATTTTATGTATTTAACTAATAAATGAGTAAATAATAAATAGGCGTTCCGTAGGCGATGACAGTGATTGAAATAAATACGAATGTAATCCAAATTTGACGATATCGACGTTATGGGCACAGATGTGTTCGGATTACGTTTGACGTGTGGTATTGATGCGGCATCCTTATTTACTCGCACGTAGAGTACGCGTGGAGAGCTAGAGCGATGCGAGTGGCGCCGGGTGCGCGCACTAGCTGGCGACGTGCTGCGGCGCGCGGTGCGGCAGTGTCCCCGCGGTCCCCACGCCGCCGCCCGCGGCCGCGCCCGCCGCCGTGCTCACCGGCTGCCCGAAACTACTTCGAAGTGACTCCTCCATTAGCCGACATATTTTGTCGCGGTCTGCCTGAAAATACAATATGTAACATATAAGTACAGTGGGGAAGGGACTGTTAGTAATGGAGACTGAGAATCCCATTGCTAGCAATATACGCAACCAGGTTGAGCTCCTCGCGGTTCTCTCTGGAAACTATCATGGTTAATTCCTGATGAATTCATCATGATGGGCTAACTGGCCTGTTTTCATTCTCATCTATCACCCTTCACTGGTGCTCCGCCAGCGTATACCTTTAGCGCAGGCGGAGTTACCATACCATTTTCACCCATCAAAAAAAAGTAGTGTTCGCCGTGTAGGTCCCGGCGTAGAATAGACCTACCCCTTCTTTTCCCGTGGATGTCTTAAGAAGCAACTAAGAGAATTTATGGCCGAGGGATGGGTAGCAGCGTCCGTCTTAAAACATCACTAATAGCTTAACTAATGTTGCCAACCCGCCTGCCAAACGTGGCAACTACTGGAAAAACTCCCCTTCTTATGTTCAGCAGTGGACAGTTAAGGGCTGATATGATAATGACAAGAGTAACGGAAAAAATAAACAACTTTCCCACATCTTCGCAAGGTCGCCTTCTCATCAAAGGAGTTGTTAGTAACGAAGATTAGAATCCGCATTGCTAGCAATAAACACTGTGAATTTGACCTCTCCCTCCACACGATACTCCCTGGACACTACCATGGTTAATATTGGACGAATCAACTACGAACCAACTGATTACCAGAGGGAGACTTTGTACAAAAGTCGTTTGCTTGGGTAGGTACTTCTGTCTCATTCGTGTTTCAACCGTGAAGCAGTTGTGTTTGCATGGCTGTGTTTCGGTTTGAAGGGCGGGATATGGCAGTGTATTTACAGGGTACAGAGGAATAACACCTGAGTCCGGGAGGAAATGGATTGTTAGCAATGGAGTTTGACAGCCCCATTGCTAGCAATATACCTTATTAGGTCGACCTCCACGTGGTTCCCCCTGGAAACCATCGTGAACAATTCTTGTTGAATTCGTCACAATGGGCTAACTGATCTACTTCATCTTCACCTATCATCCTTCACTGGTGCCCCGTCGGTGTATACCGACAGCGCGGGTGGGGTTACCATTCCATTATCACCCATTAAAAAAAAACACCTGAGTCCTTAGGAATGGCAACGCATTAGAGGTCTCATGGGCGAAATATTATACTCTGTTATATCCATGGTACTGTTCATGTGAGTGTAAAAAGTGTATCTACTGAGTACGAAGATTTTTAGTCTTCTGTCGTATCCCACTGAAACTCCATCATAGCGAATTGGCGGTATCTCGGACCAACTGAACCTACAACGTAGCCCACTGCTGTCGGTAATGGTGATGTGATGGATATAATCGACTAGCAACCCGCTCCGGCTTCGCACGGGTGCAATAGTGATACTAAATAGCGCCGTCGGCCCTCCGGCATTATATTGACCCATCTCATAGTATTCAGCCAAAGTTTGCAATGCAAGCACAAAAAAAGGGTTTATGTACGACATCACATTAGAAATCTCTAAATTTATCAGTGTTTATCTACAATATTATGCATGTATTATACATACAAACCTTCCTCTTGAATCACTCTATTTATATAAAAAACCACTTCAAAATCCGTTGCGTAATTTTAAAGACTGCCGATTATTATCGGCACCGCCGGTTCGCACCTGTACTGCTCAGTTTGCTCCCACTTATCAGGCTATTTCTCTGCTCAATTCTCTGATTGCCCAGCAGCCAGATATTGATATATTTAATGACAAAATAGATATATTTTTAAAATGTTGTTCAAAATTTGTAAGTTTGTAAAATAAACCTATGGCTCACTACACGTTTTGGAAGACTGTAAGTGTGGTGAGTAATTTATAAATAAATCAAGATTTAAGCATACATAGGGACGGACAGACAGCGACAGCGACTTTGTTTTACACTATGTAGTGAAGTGATGATTACGGTAGTGTAGTGCGGCGGTACCTCGTGTATGAAGCCGAGCTGCACCAGGTCGGCGGCGAGCGCGGCGGCGGAGTCGCGGCGCGACACGGCGCACGTCAGCTGGCGGTTCATCTTGTCGTCCATGCGCAGCAGGATCGTCATCTGCGGACACGTCGCACTTGTACTATACTCATACTCGTACTTAAACTCATTCTTATGTCGACAACACTATTTTTAATTTTTTGCGGTATAATTCAAAATGCATTGCAATGGATAGAACTCTACGAATATGGTAATTTTTTTAAACTTCTTATATAAAATAAGTGAAAGAGGTATTAATTGGATGTTATACATCGTGTACTAGTATTTAATATTGTACAGTTCGAGCGATGTATGTGCGGCGTGTAGTGTATGGTGCGTAGTGTAGTGTGCGACGTGTGATTTGCAGCATGTAGTGTGCGGCGTGTAATGTGCGACGCGTAGTGTGCGGCGCGTAGTGTGCGGCGCGTAGTGTGCGGCGCGTAGTGTGCGGCGTGTAGTGTACGGTGCGTAATGTAGTGTGCGGCGCGTACTGCGTAGTGTGGGCGCGTAGTGTGCGGCGTGTAGTATGCGGCGCGTAGTGTACGGTGCGTAATGTAGTGTGCGGAGCGTAGTGTGTAGTGTGGGCGCGTAGTGTGGGCGCGTAGTGTGCGTAGTGTAGTGTGTGGTGTGTAGTGTGCGGCGCGTAGTATGCGGCGCGTAGTGTGTAGTGTGGGCGCGTAGTGTGCGTAGTGTAGCGTGCGGCGTGTAGTGTGTAGTGTGTAGTGTGTAGCGCGCGGCGCGTGGTACTCACGAGCAGGTCGTGCGGCGGGTCGTGCGGCGCGGGCGGGGTGTGCGGGTGCGGGTGCGGCTTGAGGCTGCACATCATGTTGACGACGCGGCGCGTCTCGGTGTCGCGCGGCTCGGGCGACGCGGCGGGCGCCGCCTCCGCCAGCGCGCGCTCCGCCGGCGACGCCGCGCGGCCCGCGCCGCCGCGCCCGCCGTACGCCGTCAGCGGGTAGATGCCGTACCTGCAACCGACCGCCCGTTCACGTTGCCTCGCGAGTAACGCGCTGCCTGAGAACGTTACTCGCTAATTTCGTATCTAACCTGTTACTCAGGTTGTTGCAGCGTTTTACATGTCAGTGGAGTATTGTAACTATGTGGAAGTTGTCTAAATTCATCAGTTAGGAACCCTGACCTTCATACATACGTGTAACTATTGTTGTACTTCTAAAAGAAGTCGCCTCTCAAAATAAGTGTAACTGCTTACGAACCAAAGTAAGAGATTAGTAAACTATGTAAAAAAATATGACTCACTTGACATCTTCGACAAACTTCTCTAGCTTCTCACCGTGCGGTGGAAGGTCTTTAGCTGAGATCTCGGTCCGTTCACCGTCCTTGACGCACCACGCGAGTGCCTCCCCACTCGATCCGCCTGCCACCTCGTCCGTTATCGTTTCCGAAATGTTTGCTGAGAATATATGTAATGCCAGACTATTTTATTTGTAATGTAAAGGTACGACGTTGGTAAGTATGTGACTTACAATCTGAATAGTTATAAGAGAAACTTTAATTAAAATATCATATGTTAAAAAAAATTATAAAGGATTAGAAAAAATATTTACGTATCACTACAGATAAAAACTGGATTTTATTAAAAAAGAACTTACCTGTCGTGTTGACAAGAGTGTGGGCTGCTAGTAGCTTCAAGGAGTGTACTTCAAATAGCAACGGGTGGAAGAGCAGCTCTCGAGCCGTCGGCCTTTTCGACGGATCTTTATTTATACACCTGGAAACACAAGCGTAAGCGATTAGTACGACGTATCGACAGGGGACAGCCGAGACCTATACGAGACAAAGTACTTACCGCAAAGTGCGACCTGTGGAAAGTTACAGTACCTGTAAATAAAGTCCTTCTGCCTGGGTTCCTCCAGAGACTCAACAGTACGAACGATGTGCTCCTCTGTGACGTGGCTGCCAGAGTCGCCATTGCCCTGAATCTCAAGAGCAGCTGTCTCCAGAGCGCACATTCCGAAAGAGTAGATATCCATCGCTGGCGTCACCATTTGTGATGCTGATTCGGGGGAAACAAAATTGGAATAAATACATAAAGTAAAGTTTCTCCACCTAAGATCCTGGTACACATCTCTTGCTTTTTCCATACATGGTGATTCTTACGATATCGAACTAATATCCTTCTTGTATATATTTAAAATATGTGATGTACAATAAAATAATATTGGTACGGAATAAACGAGAAGTTGTGCTAGGATCCAAGCCGAAGAAACTGTTTTTTTTTCTATTCTCTACTAAAAGAGTTATTTGTTTAACTTACATCCATATTCCGGGGCAATAAGGTGCATGTTCCTCATATTTTCTCTGCAGGTTTTCACGTGGTGATTGATGGCATCTGGTGCTACAGACCCAATTTTCACGAGCCCGTTATGTTGAATGAAGATAGTGTCGCAGGTCAAGTTGCCGTGGACGATTGGAGGAACGCAGCCGTGAAGATAACTGGATATGGGATCATTTTACTTATTAGAATAGGTCGGCATGTTGTAGATAACAATGAATAAAATACTTGGGAAAATAAAAGATATCTGTTGAAGAAATTTTATTAGAAAACGTCAGAGGGACACATGGTGTTATGTTGGTGTGTAAGGCTATTTTAGTCACCTGAGGGCCGAAAGTATCTGTGTACACCACCGCTTCCACGCCTGCAGTGGTAGTCGTTTCACGTTGCGTTTGGTGCGCTTTAAGAATTGCTTAAGCGATCCGCATGACATGTACTCGGTTATGAAAATCACCTAAACAGTAAAATTATCATTTATTAGCTGCTTCTAGCGAAACGTTCAAGAGAAATTTTGAGGAAACTTACCCGTGGCTTGTCATTGTGTGTGTCTGTCCAGTAACGGTGGAACTTCACGATGTTGGGGTGTTCTAGTCTGGTGAGGTTGTCGAACACCATTTGTATTTTGTCCTCTTGTGCCTTGAAATTCTTCCTTTCGGAGAACTGTACCTCATTCCAAACCACCTCGACGCCTTCCTCTGTATCCATAGCGAGATGCGCACAGTCGATGCCTGGTACATCGCGTTGCTCTACCTGCAACAAAAATTTTGTTATATTAGGATATTTAAACAACTATGCCAAGAAATGTTTAGTATCTGCAATGCATTAATAAGAGTACTTTTTCACAAGTGGTTCACATTAGTTAAATGACTTTAGAGGTCATATTGTTCATTCGGCCTTTGAGTGCGTGTTTTGTCGCCGCTACATTTATGAATAGACGTCAAGTGTTTATGTCCGAGCGATCCTTCAATTGGATGATTGGTCCCTCCTGAGAGGGTGGGCCGACTGAATAAATCATTAATATGTATTCATAATTTGGTTGTAACGTAATAGTAGCAAAATTAACAATGGTGTCGACATTGACGACTGTCAATTTGGCAATATACTAAACAAGATTCTATATTCTATTAGGCTTATATTTCGTTAGGATAGAATGGAATTTAGACAAAGATTTGTAATCTTGGCTTATGTTTTGTACATAAGAGGTTGACTTAATTTTAATTTGGTACTAGGTAATTTTATGCTCACAGCGTATACAGCTTATGAATATAAAGTTTTTATATGAATAATAAATGATGCTGACATTGATATTATTTATAAAATATCTAAAAAAATCATCTCTCAGAAATATTCCTGCATAGAAAACAGAGCTATTAAACTAATTGGCTCCGACATTCGGGCTTTATTATAGCTCGTTAATTTCGTACACGTTACCTATTAGCTAAGGTGCAGTGAGTGAGGGCGGTCGGGCATTGTGTGCAAATTTCATGCGTAAACCAGTTATGAGCACTGAATGTAAATAGGCTGATACTGCTAACTTGTGACACTGCGGTTTAGACTACGTAATGGTGTCCTTAAAAAAATCTTCCATATTTTATGCGACTCTATTTCAGACTGGGTTGTGACGTGAGTCATTGTCGTGAGAAGTTCATGAATATTTCTTCGTTTCCTGCGGTTCTAGCACATGTCATTCAGATGACTGCAACGCATGTAAAACACAAAAGAATGTATGATGGGAGGCTTCAACTGAGTGGGCTTGCGTAGAAAAGCTTTTACAATTTGTGTTTCTTTTAATGTAAAAGGTCGAGTTAAACATTTTCCTTTCTTTCCGAGATGCTTTATGCCTTATTCTTACTTATAATATTATAAATGTGATAATTTTGATATTTTGTAGTCAATAACGATTCAATGGCACATCGAATAAATGGAATTCGTTGAAATTGGCACAGTGATGGCTAACAAATAGGTAACTTTTATTCTAATTCAGGCAGGCAGAGATGCGGATTATACCTATTTCTATGAATGACAAATAGTTCAGCTCTTTTCAAGTGTTTCTTCGTCACTTGATAGTTTTAAAAATCTTTTTTTTTATTAGAATTTATATTTTATAAAGAAGGAAATTTAGTTAACGTATCACCAACAAGTTACAAATTAGTGTTCAATTGATATTTTATACTGTTATGGGCTTATGAATACCGAATGTTTGAAAGGTTTGTAATGGACAATCGTTAATATAAAAAAAAGAACTGGAATTATTCTATTTATCTATATTATACCTTGTTGTATTATACATACTATATGTTATACAATAAATAATATATTATTATATTCATATATAATATCGATATCATCTATAAGGTCCAGTTAATAGTGTATTATAGATTTAATCCTGTTTTTCGAATGCTACCTACCGAAAGCCGGTCCCACTGAAAATCAGCGCTGCAGCACCACGTTGCAGCTTAAGTTGAGTGGGAACCATTTCGGCTGCTATCATAGAATTATTATTTTAATGTATAATCTTGTCATTAATATTGTTATATTTTGTAGCTCAATGATTTTATTATTATTATTTGTTTTTCATTCTTTTTCCTCAGCATTAGCTGGTACATACGCTATTATTACTAAAAAGAAGGTTTAATTTACTGTTAAATTGAAATGCTAATTAATTTGCATGGTAATAAATAATCAGCCATTATCAGTATCAATTATGGAACAAGGCATAATTCTGTTTAAATATAAACAAGTATTATTAGATGATATATTAATAGCTGGGTTATCGGCCGATAGTGGTCACATTTTATTATTCACTTATCATTCATTGTAAATTTTAAGGCGAGAACAGGATGCTGTTGCCAGTTACATTATTAATTATAATCTTTTTTGATAAGAAATTTTGGTCTAAGTTTAGTTAGTTATTTTGTTAGTTAGTTTAGTTAGTTGGTTTAGTTAGTTAGTTTAGTTAGTTAGTTTAATTAGTTTAAGAAATTCCTATATATTTTATTGTATCTACCCGATCGAGATAGAAAATGGGCTCATGATCGATAGGTGTACTCAGAATAGGTATTTGAGTCTGATTGACATTTCTAATCCTTGAACGAGGACAGCTGGTATTAAGTATTATTTCATGTATATTAATTACAAACTCATGTATGTTTATTTATATTACTCTGAATTTTTCAAATTTATTAATAGTACAAGAATTTGGAATTAATATAACGCTGTATCACTTTATAACAATAAAGTTATTATTTAAGATTTTATACAGAAAAAGCTTCTTTATTCGTAACAGAATAAGTATAGATTTATTCGTAACAGAATAAGATAGAGTCAACGTGGGGGTAAAGTCTATTGATCGTAAAAGGAGTCACTAAAATTGATTCGAATTTGGCAAAGATCTCGCGAAGTATACACGTTAGGAAATTCCACAGAGTAGTTGAAAATCGATTGACATACATACATACATACATAGTTAAATATAACACTCGTGACGGAAAGTGATGTTAAAAAAGGTATCCTGAATAGGCTCGACTGATTGGAACGGATTTCGTAAAGGGATTTCAACCACTTTTAGGATACCGGTTAAGCTACACGCTAAACAGGTTATTCTATGGGGGGAAAAGGCTTGTTAGTTATGGAGTCAAATAGTCCCATTACTGGCAATATACTTTATCAGGTCGATTTCTATGTAGTTCCCCTTGGAAACTATCGTGTTTAATTCTAGTTGAATTCGTCATGATGGGCTAACTTTTTTTTTTACACCACTGAGGTGGCAAACAAGTATACGGCCCACCTGATGATAAGCGGTTACCGTAGCCTATGAACGCCTGTAACACCAGAGGCATTACGCGCGCGTTGCCGACCCTAAAGGGGTTCTTAAAAAGGGGGGACCCCATTTAAGTTTTAAGAACCCCATGCCTAACTGTCCTGCTTTCATTTTCATCTGTCATCTATCACTGGTGCTCCGCCAGTGTATACCAATAGCGCAGGCGGGGTTACAATACCATTATCATCCATTAAAAAAACAGGTATCCTAAAAGTGGTGAACAAATACTCTATTACAGTGTGTTTCCGTCTCATGTAAATTGCTGTAATCAATTATTGCGCGTAAAGTGTAAACCGATATCGACAGAGCAACATTCAATGCAAATATTTGCCAATTGTTAGACATGAAACATAGAAACACTGTGTGCTTCATATAAACCAGTCGAGTGTTTGTTTGTGAAAAAAATTACAACATATCATGATAAATGCCCACTTCGGTAACAGAAAACTAAGATACGGTAAGATAGGCAATTAAAATACCGGTTTTAAGATTCTAAGTTGGTAAATTGCATAATATGCATCCGATTTTGACAACCGGTTCGATTATTATAACTAAATAAGTAGCAAAATTTTTTTTTATACAACTTAGAATGACAAACGAGCTGACGGCCCACCTGCTGGAAAGTGGTAACCGTCGCCTATAGACATGAGCAGTACCATGGACATAACAGAGTATACTGTTTCGCCCATGATACCCCCCCATGCGTTGCCATTCCTGAGGACATCAGGTGTTATTCCTCCGTACCCAGTAAATTAACACCATATCCCATCCTTCAAACCGAAACACAGCTATGCAAACACAACTGATTTACGGTTGAAACACGAATGGTACAGAGGTACCCAAGCAATCGACTTTTGTACAAAGTCTCCCTCTGGTTCTTATATATTTAGAAATTTATTAGAAAATGTCGGTATATATAATTATGAATTGGAGATAGAATCATAAAAATTTACTATTCAAAAATACTTGTAATTAAGTTTACTCGATTAAAAAATATTCTTATTTTTATTTTCATGGGATTTATCAACCTTTAGTCAATCACTGGCCATAATTTGCAACTTTATATATAGATACCGGTATTTGCAAATAAAAAAAAAACCGGTATACTAAACGGTTTTATAAAAATTGCAATATTCATCCGGAATTACTGAGAACGTTTATACGATCACTAGCCATAAGTTGCAGCCTTGTCCTTATACTCCATTACATATTACGAACAACGTGTACACATATACGGGGCGATTGAGGGCTAAATATAACTCGGAATAGAATACAATGAGTCGTTTGTAGCGAACACTGTCCGGAGAAGCGATACTGAGTTGATATTTTAAAATCATTGATACTATATCATGGGAGGTATCATGGGCGAAACAGTGTACTCTGTTATGTCCATGGCACTGCTCATGTCTATAGGTGACGGTTACCACTTACCATCAGGTGGGCCGTCAGCTTGCTTGCCATTCTAAGTTGTATAAAAAAAAAACTTGCTAGAAGAGAACGCTTACACAGTTAATTTCGCCTTGTACATCTCTGATTAAAAGAATTTGTATTAACGTAATCTTTGCGTACAATAAAGTACAAATAAATAAATAATGATTATAAATCATATTAATAAATTGCTTAAATAAACTAATTACTTTTTTTAAACATAAAATAAAGGAATGTGATATAACATTTATTTTAATACAAATAAAAACATTTAGCGAGCAGGTACATAGGATATGTTCAGTAACAATAAAAGGTAGCTAGATTAAAACCTAGTGGGAAGCATAGTTTATTTCCTATTGGATTGACGTCAATGCAAGAGGACAGCACATCCACTTTATTATAATATAACAATATCCATCCTTGTTTTGTCAAATGGGCAATTCCAAAAGGTCCAACACATTATGTACCTATCCACTTTTATTTATTTATTTCTTATTGCATT